GCAGGGGACAGGCACGGCTTGGCGCAGCGTGGCAGCCGCCAGCTCCGGTCCTGGCAGCCGCCCCGGAGCGCCCCACGCCAAGAGGGCGTTTCGGGCCGAGGTACGGGCACGATGCCTGAGGGAAGAGCAAGGCCACGGCTGCCGGAGCTGCTAGGTGCCGGGCAAGATCCGCGGTTTCCAGCAGCGTGTGCAGCCTGGCAGCTGTGTGCCGGTTAGGCAGAGCATCTGCTGGTGGTGAAGTGAGGAGCCTTAACAAAATGGATGCAGTACAACTAAGAGAGACACTGGGCAGGCAGGATAATGCAATAAAAGGGTGGGCTCTCAGCCGGAGGGGCTGTCAGCAGGAGGGACTCTTAAGGAAGGAGCTGCAACTACTGAGTCCCAAGATAAGGGATGGGACTCCACAAATACTGAGTTATCATAATTATGGAAATACTAATTGGGTAAAAAGTCACAAGAGGAAGAGGAGGCATCTTCAGTCTTAGTCCTGAAGACCCCCACCCACGACCACCAGGAGCCACTGCGCTGGCATAACTAGGAGGAGACCAGGGCAGAGCACATGAAAATGACTTCTTAGAACTCATTATAATAAACCCCACCTTTTCGTGGAGAGATCATGAATATATACAGGTGTTTTTGGACCTATCAATATGTAACACCTTGTATAAAGCCAAGACAAATTACCATCATGGGTGTGCATGCTTGTGGAGGAGCAATCCCCCGTGCCCCCAGCGCTGCAAAAAAGAATGCCTGCTTTCTAATACTCCCAATTCTGAGTCTCAGAGAGTTCTTCCTCGACCGGCTTTTCAGTATCAGTGTCTTTGCCCATACAGCTGGGCCTTTTCAAGCCAGTTGGTCATACTGCTGATGGGCTCTCCCTCAAGAAATTAGGACCTGCCCCTTCAGTGTCACTAATTTTCAGGATAAGGATAACCATGTTGAGAGTATGTGGCTTTAATAAGGTGTACAGTGCTTTGCATTTCTTAAATGGTCGCAAATGAGAGTGTTTTGTAAATATGACATTAGTAACATCAGAATAGTAAAATTGGTGAACAAATGCTTCCATGTTCTTTCACAAATCTTTGTTCTGTAAATAAATATTTTCAGACGGTATGAGCATATTTTCAGTGTTGTGGGGTTTTTTTTAAAACACAAATCCTCATGTAAAAGTATTGTCTGTACCTCTTCTAGCCTTTCCATGAGGTCATACATTTTCAGTAGCAGTTGTTAGCTACCTGAAGAGAATCGTTACCATTTACACTAATTTAATACTAAAGTTTGTCAATGGATTTTATCTGTTATGTAATAAAACAATTTAGAAAACTGGTGTGCCATATGCATGCTAAATGGCCCAACAGAACACTTAAGCAGTATCCAGGATGTATCACAACATGTGAGTGTTGTCCAGTGCCATTTTAAGGATGTAAATTTGGGTTTGTTAGCTGCTTGTTAGTTTTGTTTCTTAGTTGCTCCATGGCCTAAGACACTAGATTTGGAAACTGGATTTACAAAATATATGCAAGTGGAGTAATTTTGCTTTATTTTGAACACAATAAAAGGCCAATACCTGTATTTTAAAAATCTACCTTCATATAGGTCTACATAGTCATTAATTAATTAGGGTAAATGAACCTTCAATTTGCTAAAATTTCAGACATAAATCAGGAAAAAGTATTTTAAAAAGAAATCAGGGAAGAATGAATAAAAAATCCAAATTCTTAATCCCATGCTTTTCAGCTGACCCACACTTGCTGTCTCTGATTTAGAAAAACAAACTGTTTAATTTACACCTGAGTTCTTTAGAAGAAGGTACAGGCTGTTGTTCAGAATGATTATTCCTGATGGCTTTTGATGATCTTGATGAATGAATAAAATAATAACATACTTCAGTTTTACAAGATACTACAGTACAAAATGTTGGGTTTTTTGTCTTGAAGTGTCATATTCCATGAGAGCTTTTAGTAGTATTTTTAGAAGGCCTTAGTCCCCTTTATGATTCTTTGTGTATGGAAAAAATACATTCAAAAGCTTTTCACTCTGTTTACTGTTACTGACCTGCTTTTTCTGCTGTTCTGTATTATTTTTACCCATCAAATACATATTCTGTTTTACCTAAAAATACTTCTAATTTCTACTAACTGGACATGCTTGTATCATACAGTTACAGAGTTTTTAGAGCAGAAGATGTTTCAGTGATATAAATGGGAGAGGAAGAGAAGATGTGACTGTTGTCTAGTGAGCCTAAGTTAAATCCCCCATATTCAAAGTATGCCTTTCCTCAGTGCTAAAGTAGTTTCACCACATGGACAAAGGCAAGATGGATTGTGTGAACGGCAGAGCAGAAATTATTACAAGAACAAAAAATGCAAAACTCCATGTCATGCTTTCAGATCATGGGGACTACACCTGCAGTTCTGAAACAGGTGATATGTGAAATCTATCAGCAAGTGTGTTGAACAGGTCTGTTAAAAAGGTTAGAGCTGGAAAATAGAAAATGGGGGTCTGGCCTTGTATTTGTGGCATTTATCTGAGGGTCCTAGATGAGAAGCTTGCTGGCTGAGACTCCCTCTGTACTTGGTGATGAGAGGTGTCACCAGAGGACAAGCCGCATCGTGAACGACTCCCTGTGGATCCTTGTCTCCGTTTAGTCTTTGAAGTTAGGTGGGCTGAACCTAGACTGCAATTGCTTAACTTTAACAAGAAGAAAAAGTGACCTGGCCAACCACAGACCCCAAAGCCTGGTCTCAGTCTCATGCAAAGCTTTGGAACAACTCAATTTTGCCATATTAATACCCTATTGAGAAAACATTTGATAGGGTATCACCTGGGGAGAAATGAGAATATGGTGGTTAGGAGAGAAACGGTGAAGTGAGATAGCCACATAAAAAGTTGAAAAGGAAGTTGTCGGCCTTAAAGTTTTGGTTTTAGGATGGTCTTATTTGATACTTTTTGTGGTAGCCCTGATAAAATCAGTAAGAGCATATTGGTGAAATCTGGAAATTATATATACTTAGGAATCATTGTAAGTACAGAGAGTATCAGGAGATGTATTTTCATTTAAAGTAGGGAGGTATTAATGTCATTGTTTAAGGCCCTGGTGAAATCACATTTGGGGTACTGTGAAAATTTCTAATTGTTCTATAGCTAAGGTTGAACTGAAAGAGAAGTAGAGGGATGTTAGGTGCATCACCAGAGAGTCTGGGAGCCTTTCATACAGATTTTAGGATGTTTACTTAAATAAAACAAAAACAGAGAGGAGATACAAGTGCTGTCTATAAATATATCAGGAAAGTAAACATGAAGGATGAAAACCATTTAATTTGCAGGGCAATGTTGACACAAGAACAAATGGATATGTACTATTCATTAATAAATATATCAGGAAATTAGAAGAATGTTTCTAGTCATTACAGCAATCAAATTCTGAAACAGCTTTTCCATGGAATTAGTGGGAGCAAAAATATGCCTGTTTTTAATAGGGTGCTTGATAAATTTATGAGGCGATCGTACAACAGAGTTTTCTGTAGTGGCAGGGAACTAGGCCCCACCATCCAGGAGGACCCTTCTGTTCTGTGTTACCATGCCAATTCATAGTACAAATAGCAGAACATTTTGTCCAGATTTATGGTTCATAATATGGGAAGGACTTGTCAGTCCGATCTGAAGAGTAAGCAAGGCTCAGAAGTCCTTACATATGCCAAAGTTAGACTGTGCTACTGTGACTTCAGTAAAGTGTATGATGTCAGCACTGAATAGAAAATAACAGAAGAAAAGGAGATAAGAAAAAGAACTTTTAAGCAAGATGAAGAAAATGCGGGGAAGTTGCGGATGGCAAAAAGGTTATCATCAAAGTTCTTCAAGGATCCAGTCACAGGCCCTGAGCTCTGGATACCAATACAAGTATATACCAAATTATCTCGTGCTTTTATGCTGTGTTCTGCTTTTGTGAGGCATGCTGTTTGAATTTGGTACTGTTGAATCATTACGACTGTTGAGAGCAGCAGGGTCTGTGGCTTGTCGAGTTAGCAGAGCCTTCTATTCAGTGTGCTGAACTTCCTCAGCACACAGCAGGAGGTCAAATCCTACAGCAGGTTAATGTGTAGACTGGTCCAGAACTGATTCAACCCATGTAATCGACCCACAACTCAATCTCAAGAAAGAGAAATAAGGAAAAACTGGTCTCATATATGTTGTGAGATGAAGGTGTTAAATCCGTTGATGTAACACTAGATTTATTGCAGCACTGAGCAAGCTCATGCCAACAAGCTCATACCCGCAGGGAATTAAGTAACATTTCATTTGAAGTGTGCCATTGTGCATTTTCTGGAACCTTTTATACCAGTAAGTATATGACCACACGTACAGGATGCTAAAACCTACTGAAACTGAATCGATGCTAAAACCTACTGAAACTGAATAATTTAAAACTCTTAAAGTTTGAGGACGTTCAGATGGTTTATTTTCTAAATACTTTGCTTCAAAAATGTATCTGGTCACCTGAAGTGACTCTCTTTTGCCAGGGCAGCACCGATTCCATCATCATTTTCTTTTGGTTTGTGCTGGCTGTTTAATCACTAGCGGGTGTGCCGTACTTGAACTGAAGTAACAGGGCTGTGAGCACTTCACTGTCCAGCCTGATCATCACTTTGAGCATCACTTTGTTATTTCTTTACTTCAGACACTGCTAATCAGTGATGCAGAGGGTGACTCAGTGAATCCTCTTTACCTAAGAGTGTGCAGGTGTGTAGTCACAGAGATAGCTACAATTCAGTCATACAAAGGCTGATAGCATTTTAAAAGCCCCCAGACTGATTTATACGTAGTCAATAGTCAATGCATATTCTGAGTTTCATACTAAGTAATGCTTCAGTTCCTGCTCTTTCTGTTCTCATTGTGTGCTTCAAATACTTGTATATGATTGCTTGAAAATCACAAGGGTACTGCTACATCAAATTATGGTTTTACCACTCTGTTTCTTTTCTCTCATGATATAAATCACTAGGTAGAGTGCTGTCATCAACTCTAAAAAGAAGCAGCCATAAAATCTTTTCCCACAATAATTTTAAAGCTTCCAGCAGCAGTTTTTTGAAATTTGTAATTTATGTGCTGTTTTTCCCAGTCTAGAGAAGATCTAACTTCGATGTAAATACTTAACAGTTAGGCTGAAATGTTTTAGCAACATTGCTTTATTTTAAAATAGAGTTGAAATAATTTAAAAATGCAAGTCAATTTTCTTTCCTTGCCTTTATGAACATGTATACTGTGTTTCATTGCAGTGCTGGGAAGCTGGCATAAAGGTCTTTGTAGTTGTAAGAAATAACTACACCAACATATCCAAGGTCCAGATGTTCTAAAAAATTGATGTATTACTTCTACAGATTTATTTTAAAAAACAATTTCACGAAGAGATTTAACCATATCCAAGGATACGCTCTTCAGTACAATAAAGTGCCACTAGATGGAGGCACCTCAGCTGCAATAATAAGCTGAAATACAATGGTTTGAAAGTCATGCTCCAGAAAAACTATCGATGTTGGAGGAATTTGGAGGGAAGCATTTTATTTTGCCTAAGTTCGGTTATCAATTAAAAAACTCAAAAATCATAGAAATAGGCACTTTTGTCTTTAATCCCATCTCATAAAATTTACTGTGTGAAACGGCAGTACTGGAGTCTGTGGGTGTACATGTGCCGCATGCTGCATCTTTGGCATTCTTCCTGGACCCCTGCAGGATGGAGAACACAACACAATTTTTCTCTAAATCCCATTTATATTTAATCACCAGCTGGAAAAAAAAAATCTGCTTTCCCAAGTATATGGATAGAGTCTCCGATTTTAAGGGCTTTCACCTGCAACCCAAGCTTTTATGTAGCTTTCGGATACATTAGATTTTTATGAGATTTTTTTAAGATAATCATAGATGGACTTTCCTTCACCCTACCTGTCCTAAAACAGAAATTGTAATAACAATACTTACCTAATAAACACGATCGGTGTCTTTCTTCATGGTACTTCCATCCTACAAGCTTCATGTCACATCCTTCAAGATTATTAGTTGCCAATAATTCTGATGTCAATATAAATTCATGGGTTCTCCCATAGGTGACAATCCCTCAGTGCTTGACTGACAAAGATAAATAATAACATAAAGTAAAATTAAATACTAATACTACTTCAGAACCATTTTCACATGGGGACATGGATTTTTAGATATTACCAGAGAATTTTCACATAAACAGATTCTTGAGAGAACATTGGAGACAAGGTGGCACTTTAAAAAGGTAATTTTTATTTGAAAAAAATTGAAAATTATTTTATTTTTCCTAAGAAAAACCTGCTTCTTAGCATTTTTATTTCTATAGTTGTGTTCTAGGAATACCTAATTTTAAGATTAAAATGTGAATTAGTTTAGGAAAAGCTAGAGGAGCATGATAAAAATAGATCTGCATGGTGAAGGGACTGAGGGGTTGTGGTCAGTGGCTGTTGGAGTAGAACAAAATCACTGGGTTTGCTCCGGTACGTGGTGCTACTACACCTAGATGTTTTAAGCAGGAATTGGCTGAGGAAAAGGAATCGATACAGTGGCCGAAGAGCTGTGAACTACCCACTTCTTTACATACCTTAAAATGCCTTTGAAATGTTGGCTGTTTCACTGTGGGATTAATACATTTGATAGTGCATAAAGGAAGCAAAAAGAGGAAAAGCTTTTCTTAACTTAAAAAGTTACTGAAAGCTGTTTTGATTAATGATATGAGGGAGATTTCTTAAAGGTACGTCCCTGGTACAGCCTTCCTAAATGCTTTCATCTCATTGGTTATGAATGCTGCTTTAGAATTTCAAGGAGCAATTACATCTAATACAGCTTTAGCCTCTTTCAATGATACAAGTTGTCCAGAGATAAGCTAACTATATTCCAGTCTTCCAAATGTTTTCTTCTATATAGCTGTGTAGATTCAAACATGGCTTATTTTTTTGAAACAAGATTTTGAAATGGTGTTTACATTGCTTAGCTGGAAAGGCTTCCAGAAGGTAGCTAGTTGTTCTGAATGTTATTGCAGAGCAGGTTTGTGTTTGCCTTGAAGTACTGTATGTATTGTTTTCATGACAGAAATGATTACATTTCCACTTGAAAGAACAGGCTGTTCCTGTCATGTTATGTTCCACCACAGCATGTTGTGAAACCCTAATAGGCCCAATTTTACTACATATTAGTCCTATGTTCTCATCAGCTGTGCCTTCCTTTAGAGCGAGGAGGTTCTCTGGAACTGTTAACTGTTACACATGCTTAAGCGCTTCAGACATCACGATCCTGGGTACATTATTTTTCGTATGTGGTGATGTACTGCACAGAAAAATAAAGTTTAAATTAGAGTCCTGAGCTGTTGGGTGACACTCAAATTTAAGAAAGGAGCAGCTGCGATTTAGTTATATCAGCCCTCTCCTGGTATTGAGCAGACAGCGTTCCTTCAGGCAACGTCTCATGCAGGAGAGTTACCGATGTCAGACTACACACACAGCCTTGAAGGGAGCTGTTAGTTTTGTGCATAGGTTCAGCAGGTTTTGATTTCTACATGGACCCAGTGCTGCGGAGTGAAGTGGTTTTCTGCTGTGTGCCAGATGCAGCATTTTCACTGCACTTTGAACAGCAGCCTCTTGAAATTTCATGTCTTTAAAGAGAAGGAGTGAAGCTGTGAAGAAGCCCAAGTCTTGTCGGTGCCTCAGATAGCTGACATTTGCTGTGAACTTTTGAACAGCCTTCACAAAGATGCAGTTTCTGTGAGGCAGTGATCAGACCGGTGACATTTGGAGCACTTGTTTTTAAGTTGCTTGAACACTACTTGCAGACAAAGTATTCCTCCCCACATTGTGCCAGAATTATCGTATACCAAAACCAAGCTTGTCTTCTACTTGAGCTTTCCATGCAAGGGTTTTCCTTTGGCTTTCAAATTTGGTTCTCTAGAGTAACCCTGTTTACCACTCCTCATGCCATAGGTCTTCAAAACACTTCACATTCATAGATCCTCACACCATGCAGGGCAGATTCTGGTCTCTAAAAGTTAGTAGATAAGGAAATTACACTGGTAAAGGCCGCAGGTCTGCAAGTTATTCCTCATAAGTGGACATCTAGACTGAAAGATGAAGTGAAGTGGCTGAAGAAACTCACTCCAGAGCACGTAGCATTGAGCCACAGTAACTCCCAGCTGCCTTCTCTTGGCAAGAGCCATTTACAGTCCTCAGTAGGTGAGGAGAGAGTAAAATGACTTCCTTCCATTATATGCAATAGGAAAAGGGCTGGGACATCCCTTATGCAGTAGTTCTCAGGTTATGAACTGTTACTCTGCAGAGTGATGAACTGCATTGAGACACCAGTGAAGCGGGGGATTTCAGTGTTTCAGTTGCAGTCCTTTAGCGCAGAAGCAGCCACAGGAATCCTGGAACATTTCTGAGATGATATCAATAGTGTTGCCTTTTTTGTAACTGAAATTATTGCATATCCCCAGCGTTAAGAATTTTTGACATAAAAGGAAGCTACATTCAGCATTATAATCTGACTTCGAACAGAAGCAGTTTAGAAAGAAACACAGAATTTCAGTGTATTTGCAAAAATGCTTCACGCTTAATGATGTTGGCTGCTGATGGTTTTACTCTGACAAACTTTGAATAAGTTCTAGTACCTTTGAAGGTGAAAGACTGATGAGCTTCCCTGAAAGCAACAGTCTCCTTGGAGAGTTTAGAAAGCCTGTATGCAATGTATGAAGAATTCTCTAAAACATCATCAGCATTTCAGAATATGACCTAATTCATTGGTAATCTAAAGAGGTGATTCGAATGTATATGTTGAGAAATTTGTCAGAAAAATCTGTGTAAAGAAATCTAAACTTTAATTATGTAAGATAGCTGTAATAATCCTCATCCTTGTAGAATCCAATTTTGGGCAACCTGTCCTGAATTAGGCACAATAGATACCTAGAACAGGCTCCAGAAATCCAGCTTTCTGAGTGTGGAGTTGCATGAGCTATCCAAGGAGGAGTGCCAGGACTGAGGGAGAAACAGAGCTGCAAATTTATGGACAGAAATGTGCCCTTAGGAACACAATTTGCCCTAATAGAACATCATCCATTATAGGAAGTAAAATCCTTTTACAGATTTTAACGCTCTAAGCTCCCTGATACCCCTTAATTAAAATGGTACTTTTAACATTATTTTACTAGCAGGATATAGAAGTTATTTTATATATAGTGTACTGGGTCTGGCTGGGTTAACCTGCAACATACATACCTACAGGAAATCCACAGCAGCTGGAACAAGGATCTGTCTCTATTTTTGGTTTTACACTTCAGTATCTGAGGAGACATCCTAATTGGTGTGTCATAAGAACATGTATGGAAGAAATAATTAGAAATGTAAGTAAGCTTCTTCATAAGCTTCTCTCCCTCAAAGGAAACGGGAGCTCTTCTAAACGTGTGCGTAAGCCTAGTTCCTTGGCAGAGAAGGCAACTGGCCAGAAACAAACCAACAGAAGAGTCTTCAGCTGCTGGCACAGCTGGGCTGCTGCTGGCTAGAAGACGGGGGATGTGAGCATCAGTGCGCAGCAGCCAGCGCTGGCCCCAGCTTCTGGAGGGGATGTTGTCTAGTACAAATGAAACGGCATCAAAATCCTCTCTGGTAACCAAATTATGGGTTATTATTAAATAGTGTAAAATTGATCTCAAGACAGGGAGTTTCTACAAAAAGGGCACTGGAATAGTGGGTGCACATCATGCCTATAAATTCTGGGCTTTGTGTCTGTTTTCATTTTGAAACGTTGTCTTTAATGGGTGCATGTTCTGGTGGGCGGACAGGATTGCGGATGGAAACCTCGGTTTATAAAAAGGGAAGAGCGTTCATGTTACTGACTTGGAGAAAGATTTACCATCCGTTGTTATTTTCGTCCCTCTGACAGCTCCCTGCCTCCCCCCTTCCCTCCCCAAGCACACCCAGCCAGCCAGCCACCCGAACGCAGGCTCTCCAGGTGGGACCCCAGCCCAGGCTCGGCTGACACCCAGCGCCTGCTGCAGAAAGAGGTGGGGCTGCCACAGCCACAGCTCCCTCCCGCCTTCCCCACTGACCTGAGTTCATGCTGCTGCTGCTGCTGCTTTGCCAGTGGCAGCGTCGTCCCTGTGCAGTGTAATCCCGGCATCCTCGGAGCATCCAGCAGCTGCTGGGCACTTGCAGCCCTGTCAGGAATTTTTTTTCTCCCAAGTACTGTTTCAAGGCTACTGTCTTCCATCTCATCACAGAACACTGTAAGTATAACTTCCACTGTGGCTCTTTAGTTACTGTCTCTTGTGAAACTCATCTGTCTTGTACTGAATAGTACAAGTAGTACTTGTATTTAACTACTAGTATTTGAACTGCTAGTGGTAGTTCAAAGTCTCTGTGAGGCTTGTTGTGGTCTCTGCTCCTGTCTGAGGTGTTCAAGTGGACCTTTATCATTTTAGTTTTTAGCTGGATTAAAACGTGAAATCAAAACTCAAAATGTTGGTGGTTTCCTGGCTGCCGTTTTCCTACTTTGTAGCTAAATTGCTAGTGTGTCCTTCTTTTAAATGCTGGTGCCTAGTGAAGTGGAAGTGAGAAGAGAAGCATTTCCATCCCTGCTTGTTTGCTGGAGCCATCTTTCTAATAATCCAAGGAAGAGAAACTTTATTGCATATTCATAAACTCCAGGATGTTGAGGCAGGTAATCCTGCAGTTTGCTGAAACATAGCTAGCAAGGGAAGTTTTAGAAAGGAGGTAGGTGGGGGGCTATCTGTCTCTCTCATTCCCTTGAGTCCCAGAGGTGAGGTAAAGGAATACATGGGTTTAGGGACCTCAGATGGTTGCAGCGGTGTTAATGGCACATTCAAACATCATCCCAGAACCCCGAGGCCACAGCAAAAGGGCCTGTTTCAAGCTGTCCTGTTTCCTGACCTAGCTCGGTATGACTGTGAACTCCATGGTGTCCCCACAACTCTGTCTTCGTATAGACAGCTCCCATATATGTTGTATTATCTGTGGGTTATCCTCTCTTTATTGCATCACTAGGAGTTACAGAGAGGATGTCAGTGTGTTAACACTTCAAAGGCATCACAGACTAACTTTTCATATTGCCAATGCCCTAAGGTATCCTGAGTTGGAGAGCACATGTAATTCTGGCCAAGTTCCCAATAAAATTTGTGCTGTTGCCCAAAATGTTGCCTTGTATCTGCAGAAAATCTCACGTAATTTTGTAACTGTATTTTACATTCTGAATTGGAAACTGGAAATGAGCATAGCACCAACTATTTGACATAGAATTGATTCAGAACACCAAAATAAGGGCCACAATCTGAGACTCTTAACTGTCATCTTTTTCTTCAGGCTTCTTTCTGTGTTCACTTGTCTTTTGTTTGTTTGTTTTTATGTTTACTACCCTCTTCCACTGCACTTTATCTTGATAGGAAGGACTGAAAAAAAAATTACCAGGTGTTTTAGTGATGTTCTCTCTAAACCTGCTTTGAGCATATGGAATATGCATTGTAGGAAAACTGCCGTTTTCCCAGACGGAATCATGTATAATAATGACTACATCTTCTATAGCATTTGAAGTTGTCATTATGCCTCCTGTGTTATTACTCTTTCCATCTCCAGCTGTCCAGATTGTTTCTGTGTTTTACACATATGCTAGAAATACTTGTGCAAAAAGTTTGCTTAATTTTCTAACATAAGCCAGAAAGAAATTTGCTTTTTCTGGTCTTGCAACAGCTCCTGAATGAGTTCATAACCTGCCTATGCTCACCCAATACAATGTAATGGTCTGGTTTACTGTTCCTTCATTACCACCATTCTGAGTTGGACTGTTCCATGAAAGACTGGCTATTTCTGTTACTTGTTTGCAGTTATTTAAAATAGTATACCAGTGTTCTTTAAGCATTTGTTATTAATCTGATTTTACTGATGGTCTAAGCACAGGAGTTTAATGGAAGAAGTCTTGAGCTCAAGGAGCAGTTCTGACGTAAACTACGATCACTTCAATCTTTCTGATTCAGAAAGTTTTCATGTTCTAAACAGCTTTAACAATTTCTAGGTGCAAACCTAGCTCCATTGTCAGGGTTCATTGACTGGTATATATTCCATGGTTTGAAAAGAAATATATTTCTGTATATATGCATAAATGATCTCTTGGGGTACTCTTGAAAGTTATGTGAGAGTGAATTACATAACAGTAGAATCACTGTGATTTTATACACTTTCTTTCAGGTATCTTTTTGGAGTATGGAATTTGTGTGGAAACAAAGGTGGTATCTTCAGCTGGGGTGTGTATTGATACTGAATTTGGTATATGGCAATCCAGACTATCAGAAAGAAATTCCTGCAAGCCTGGGTCAGATTGACCACCAGTGCTGGGAGGTGTCGTCCCATGGACTGGTCGAAATGAAGAAACTCAAGGTAGCAGATAGAGTCATTGATCTCTGGGACTTCTTGATGTTCCTGAAGGAATCCCCTAAGCCCAAGCACAATGAACTCTTCAACGATTTAGCCCAGAACTTCTGGGATATGTATGTAGACTGTGTGCTCTCAAGATCCCATGGAATGGGCAGAAGACAATTAATGTCTCCCAAATATGCTTCCACATACTCACATAGAACTTTAGAAGGTAACTACAGGATATGGTGTTAGTCTGTTATGTACTGACATTAAACTGAACCACTGTCCTATTCTTGTCCTTGTTTAGACAACTCAATACAGTAATTTCCAGTTTTCTGTTTCTACTTGTCAGAAGTATTTGCATCTTCCAATGGTAGCTACTTTCACAATATGTGAGACAAAAGTAGTTAAGGTACTACACTTCTCTATTTAGCAAAGTGTAAAAAATGATGAGTATGCATGTGGGAGTGTGTGAAAATGGATGCTGCATTCTCTGTTTATCACTGTGTGCATATAAATGACATGACAATACTGAAAGTTTCCTGGTACTTGCACTTCAGGCTCAACTTTGGGGAATCATCCCTCTGTGAGAAGGGAGGCTCAAATCTCCAACTGCTTGAGCCTTGTTCTTCCCATTAAAACTGTTGACACATAATGTGTTCTCATGGTCACTGTGAATCATCAAACAATGACAAATTCTGGTCATCATGGTCTGGGATGAGTCTGAAATGAGATCATATAGGTGACTGGCTTTACATCTTATTAACCAATTCTAGATCTGCTGCCTTCCTTCATCCTCAGCAATAAGACTTTTTCTGATGTACCCAGATGTTTTAGTCTCCAGACTGAACATGCATAACATATAATCCTAGCATTCCTAACCATATTGCTTGGAAAATAATTACGTTTCTTTCATAATCTTGCAGGGTCTGCATTCACCAACCCATTTTAGGCAAAAATGGGAGAAAATGAAGATACCTCAGCAAGGCAACATCAAAATGAAGGAGCACAAAAGCACAGCATATACTGTAGATGCTTTGACAAATTCATTGGCATGGTTCAACCTTTTTTCTTCTTTTCTTTGTATAAAGTAAGGAATCACTGCTAAACTGATAAGTACATGAGCTCCCACATTGTCACTTTTGCTTTCCTGTCCTGCAATCTACTAAGGTTGCCTTTTTTCCCACTGCATGTGTGAATGCTTTTGTGTTTTGAGTTAACACCTTTGTTCTCTCAGGTAAGCCTGTAAGTCTGAACCAGTGACGTATTTTTGTAGAGGCTCATTTCTTCCAATAATTCTCTTTTTTAAAAGTTAAATTTGATGGAAACCCAATATATTTTTATACATTAAGCAATGTCAACAAACATATTTTATACAGTGTCTTGCACACACAATCAACTTTTAAGAATAGCAAAAAAGTGTGACATCAAGCTAAAGGGAAGGATTATGTTCACTGTAATGTTCTGTGCAGTCTAAACTTTGTATTTTATCACTGCTTAGTCTAGGCTATGGATTAAAGTATTTTTCTATGCAGCAAAGTCTGAATAGTAGTAATTTTCTTGTCTATTAACATGTTATTTATAAAACCACTGCTACATTACATTAAGAACAGTAACAAGAGTGCTCTTTATGCATCCATACAGGTAAATTAGGTGATACACAGAATCACAGAATCATCAAGGTTGGAAAAGACCTTGAAGACCATCTAGTCCAACCATTAACCTAGCACTGACAGTTCCCAACTACACCACATCCCTCAGCGCTGTGTCAACCCGACTCTTAAACACCTCCAGGGATGGGGACTCCACCACCTCCCTGGGCAGCCCATTCCAACGACTAACAACCCCTTCTGGAAAGAAATGCTTCCTAATATCCAGTCTAAACCTTCCCTGGCACAACTTGAGGCCATTCCCTCTTGTCCTGTCACTTGTTACTTGGTTAGAGAGGCTAATCCCCAGCTCTCTGCACCCTCCTTTCAGGGAGCTGTAGAGGGCCAGGAGGTCTCCCCTCAGCCTCCTCTTCTCCAGACTAAACACCCCCAGTTCCCTCAGCCGCTCCCCATACGACCTGTGCTCCAGACCCTGCACCAGCTCCGTTGCCCTTCTCTGGACACGCTCGAGTCATTCAATGTCCTTTTTGTAGTGAGGGGCCCAAAACTGAACACAGGAATCGAGGTGCGGCCTCACCAGTGCCGAGTACAGGGGTCAGATCCCTTCCCTGTCCCTGCTGGCCACGCTATTGCTGACACAAGCCAGGATGCCATTGGCCTTCTTGGCCCCCTGGGCACACTGCTGGCTCCTGTTCAGCTGGCTGTCAATCAACACCCCCAGGTCCCTCTCTGACTGGCAGCTCTCCAGCCACTCCTCCCCAAGCCTGTAGCGCTGCTGGGGGTTGTTGTGGCCCAAGGGCAGCCCCCGGCATTTGGCCTTATGGAAACTCCTCCAGTTGGCCTCAGCCCATGGCTCCAGCCTGTCCAGGTCTCTCTGCAGAGCCTCCCTACCCTCGAGCAGATCAACATCCCCCACCCAACCTGGTGTCATCTGCAAACTGACTGAGGGTGCACTCGATCCCCTCGTCTAGATCATCAATAAAGATGTTAAACAGGAGTGGCCCCAACACCGAGCCCTGGGGGACACCACTCGTGACCGGCCACCAACTGGATTTAACTCCGTTCACCACAGCTCTCTGGGCCCGGCCATCCAGACAGTTTTTTACCCAGCAAAGCGTGTGCCCATCCAATCTGCAAGCAGCCAGTTTCTCCAGGAGAATGCTGTGGGAAACGGTGTCAAAGGCCTTGCTAAAGTCAAGGTAAACAACATCCACAGCTCTTCTCTCATTCAACAAGCAGGTCGCCCTGCCGTAGAAGGAGATCAGGTTTGTCAAGCAGGACCTGCCTTTCATAAACCCACGCTGACTGGGCCTGAGCATCTGGTTGTCCCACATGTGTTGTGTGATGGCACTCAGGATACAGTCCATCCCTGTCATAGCAAGCAACATCACAATTGAGAAGAGCCCCATGAGTCATTTGACAGAGTGAGAGACTGGCTTGACTACTGCTCCCTTTATAAGAAATTATCCAGCATGAATAAACTAATTCAGGGAGATTAACCATCTAGTTAATCCATTTCTCCTGATCACAGAAGGCCTGAGAAGAAAAGGGAATACTCAGAAATGCTGACTGTTCTCTGCTTTACTCCTTGGGCAATGCAGCTTGTTCAGTCCCTGTTGTGTCCTAGCCTTTTATGGGATCCCAACTGGGTTTAATTATTGTAGGAAACAACACTTACACAGTGACAGCATATAAATCTTCATAAGTAACAAGAAATCCATCCTACATAATGCCTAACTCATACATAGCTTGTAAAATACCCAACAATTCCAAAAGATGTGTAAATGTTTATTTAGGTAAAAACAATATTGAATGGCATCTTGTAAAATATGTCTCCTATAGTATTCTGGAGAGAGTACAAAAGTAGTGAGAAATTTCTCTTACCCATGAAATATCACTATGTTTCTGATACGAAAAATATTTTAAATACACCTTTTCTTTTGAGCAAATAGAATGAGTTATGACACACCCAAACCCAGCAGTTTCAGGAATTAATATATTATGATGAGCAGCTATTTGACAGCCATCGTCTAATCTGTTCCAGCAATGTCCAGTTTATAAAGCTGGCTACTGTATTGCATTTGCAACAAATGAAGTGTCTTAACTGTCATTAACCAAATAAATTTCCCTTGCTCCCAACTACCAGTAGTTTTATTCATCACCTACAGCAGTGTAAAACTATAACACTTTAAAGGTAGTGTTTTCGACATAGTGATCTTTTAATTGAATGCCAGAGCAAGGTATCCTATGCAGTTTTAAAAGCTCCATCCTTCCTCAGACTGCGAGCCTTTGTTTTTGTTATCTTTCTGTAGGAGACAAAGGTGCTTAGGATCTACCATAACTGGCTCTAGAATGTTTGAATGATCTTTTGCTACAGTCACCCCACAGTGTCTGCCACAGGGGCAGGTAATTATTAACAACAGGAATGCAGGTCCATACACAGCAGCAGAAAACAAATTCCAGGTGGACATACCTGCTTTGTCTATGACAAGAGCCATGGAAAGCCAGCTGGCTGCTCCTGGGGTGTCTACGAGAGCGATTAACAGTTAATGGGATAATCTTTTCCTCCACCAGTACTCAGCCCTCCCTCTCTTTCCATCCCTGGGTTACAGCAGGAACAGCAAGACCAGTTTTCTTGGGTTGCCCTGCAATAGCCAGACCATAGTCCATGGCTGGCTGGAAAATCAAATGCTGTCTATGCTGCTGTGAAGCCCTGTGGTAGTATTCATTTATGAAGTATAAGCAGTTTTTGTTAGAATTAACAAGAGCATTTGCAGCTACTTGCCTGCAACATCAGGGTGTCTGTAGCAGCACAGCCAGTTGGGGGAGGAATGCTGTGGGGCTCACTTTGTGCCCCGTTTTGTTTTTGCATAAGTATAAACATAAAATGACTTCCAGTTAAAAAATATTTTATATCCATACCTTGGCTACACTGTACTTTTGTAGCTTTTGCTCAGAAATTGGAAGGACTTACGTGAGGCCTGTATGTTTTTTTTTTTTAAAAATGGGCCAGTGCCTTGCTGCCAGTAGTAATGAGTCACCCACACATTCACATATATGCAAGCATGTAAAAAACCTCTAAATGTCACAGTCTTTTTTCTCCTAGTCAAATATTTACTGTTTGATTTTAATTGTGAAAAGACAATGGAGCATACTTTCTGTGGCCCCAGTGTGTAGACATATTTTCACATTCTCTAAAGCAGTATAATAGTATTATTTATTACAATAAAGCCACATAGCTGCTGAAGAGCTGTCAGAGAAATACAAACACAATTAAATGAGAAAGACTTTACTTGACACAGAGGACTTTAATTAGATAATCTCTATATACTTTAGCTTACCTTTCATGCAGGCAGGCAAGAAATACACATACAGGCTTGTTTAATAAAACAAACTTTATGCAGATAATTTTGAGAAAAAATATCATCATGAAAACAGATTATACTTTAAAATTATCAGTTAGCAAAGGACCTGCATAAACAAATTAAATTAAATTAGCACAGCTTTAAGTACTATATGACTGTCTTACTCTACAATGTAATGTTTAACAGACCTGTCCAGAAGAAAATGCTTCTGATCTTTGAAAACTACACATGGAGATTTATCTAAAGTTTCAGTACCACTTCATATGGCTGTTTTGTTTTATTCTTTTCTTAGGGTTCTTATTTTTCTAGAATTTAAGTAGACAATTTTGAAACAAAAATCTCTGCCTTTATTTTTAATGACAGTACTGCTATGTCTTGTTGTAGGAACAAACAAATTTTTAAGAAATGCTTATACACATCCCACTCCCATCCCTCTTTCAGGATGTAAAAAAAGGGAATTTGAAACTAAATTCTACCTGATTATCTCACATTTATTTCCATTTCTCAAGTTGGCATTTAACAAAATGAAAGCTTGTACTTTTCGCAAAATTTTTGCTTACAGGCAAAAATGTCAGACTACACGCCAGAGCTTGTACGTCACAAAACCCATTGCAATGTCACAGCAATTTATGCCATAGCACTGGATAGCAACTGGTTTCAAAATGAAGTAACAGCCTCAGGGAATCTTGCTGTATTGTAATATGGCAAAGTCTGGCTTTGCCCAAGTTAGGAAAGGAGACAATAGCTTATAAACTGAATCATCTACAAAAAGGTCTGCTGCTCACAAATTTGTGTTGGTATTCTACAGGTGCTAGAGTGGAAGAGGATGATTTCTTGTTGGAGACAATATGGGCAATAAACCAAGAAATACTTCGAATAGTAAGATTAGTTAATGAGCTGTGAGAAACCCATGAGGAACGGGACATTTCAACATGTCTCCAGCAGGCCTGGAGAAACCGTTGGCCCAGATGAGCTTCTTAGTGGGTCTTTAGATGAAAGCTGAGAGAAGTCCTGATGCTAAAGGCGGCAATTCAAGAAACAAAATGGACTTGGACAAAACCCACGTGGGTACATTATCCAGGAAAAATTAAGAACTGAACGTGTTTGTGTGAAGGCTCCACCCTGCTCAGCAAAAGATCATTAAACTTCAATGTGTGAAATGTGTCAACAAGAGATGGAAATCTAAATAGTGGACCTACTGATAGTGGATCAGAGTATTCTGACACTAGCACACAAAATTATTAGACTCAACATACCTTTGTACCATACTGTATGGGGTACTTTATTAATAAATCATCCCCATGCTTGTATTAGTTAAGACAAAATATAATTTCACTCAAAAGAAACTATGCAATTCATCAAAGCATTACAAGCAGGTTTTATCTTGTATCTAAAATATACATATGGTTAACTAAAATATTAAAAGCGCTGTTCGGAACACTATCTATTCTACAGGTACTGAATCTTTCTTGACTGTGTCCAACATTTTAACTCTTTTGATCTTTTTTAAGGCTCCTTCACAAACAGAGGGGTCTGTAACAGCCAGAGGC